TTGATGGCAGTAGGTAAACCCTGCAAACTGCAGCATAATGGATGTTGGATGCTCACGTTACTTGTAGATCTTAGCAGGGCAGTTGGTGGTGTGTGCTGCACAGATGGCCAAAGTGTAGAGCACGTAGCATGAGCTGTACAGGCAGCTGGCAATTTTGTAGTGCTGGTGAGCAAAAATCTGATTCAGGTTTTATGTGATTTTGAAAATTAAGTTATTTCATGCTGGAATTAAAGCTAGTCACATTAGAAAATCAGTTGAATAGTTTCCATTGAATCCTACAGATATGTTCCACTAGGAGTGACATTTTCCTTTGGTGGGAGGAGCTGCCCTTTACGTAGCTTCTGGGCATGTAGCAAAGTTTCCGTGTTTCGTATTTTCACTTGCAGAGAGAGGAACGTGTGTAAACTGGCATCTGTGAAATTTCTTCTCTGACTACGTTCGCAACGTTTGTGGTACCTGTTTGTAGCTTGATCCCCAGTTTGATAGCATTGCTTATGAAGAGACTCAGGAATTAGTTTAAAAAATGGCATCCAGGCAGCAGCAGATTATGGGAAACAATGGCAGTAATAGGACTGAAAGAAGGTTAACCTTCCAAGTAAGACTTCCCCCCCAGGAAATACCAGTATATCTAATTCTCAACATGGACCCATCTGTGGATACTTAAATCTGTGGATGAGGGCCATATAGAGACACACAGCATTTTTCTGCAGGACTAGGGGAACTCCCAAGTTTTGCAGAAAAATAAATACCCTCCCCCAGTGGATGGTGGTTAAATCAGAAACAACATATACAGAGCAGGGAAGGGAGAACAAGGAGCCAGATGGGCGTAACAGCGTCCTTGGACACAGCTAGGTTACTAGTTCAGACACTGATGCCAACCCCACCATCAGTGTCTCTCCTTGGTGGGCAGGCAGGCACGAGTGAAGAACGGAGTTGCCATTGCTGCCCCAGCTCTGAGGTGGTGGCATGGTGAGTGGAAGAACCGCTGCTACTGCTGTGTGAGGAGAGGGAGGGAACCTTGGAGATGGGGAAGGGCAGTGGTAGCATGAACAGGCAAGCAGCTGACTCAACAGTGAAGAGAGGAGACTGGCTGACAAGGGAGGAAGACCAGCAGTGGCAGCTTTACAGATATGGAGGAAGAAGGAGGTCACCTGGTGGGCAGGTGTGCAAGTGAGGAAGAAGGGAAGGGAGGATGAGGCCAGAGAAGTGAGAAAGAGAGTGGCAGCACTCCAGGTAATGGTCAATGGAGCAGCCAGCAGTGATGCAGCAGATGGGGAAGGAAAGGCGGAGGAGAAGATGAAAGATGGGAGAGAGTCAGTGGGTTGACACAATGAAGCAGCGGGAGGAAGCAGGTATGATGGGGGGATTTCTTCTTCTCTCTGGGTTCTTCACAGGTCCTCAGTTGTTTTCCTCAGAATATCTAGCTATGGTAGCTGTCCATTACTTTCAATAGGATGTGCAACCAACCATAGATGCTGGTGTTTGCTTTCAATGGGATGTATGTGCATCTCAAGCAAAGGAGAGTGGCTGTTTTTGGCACCTTATTTCCTGAATGGAATTTTGCCAAAAGGTGTCGAACCCCAGTAACACCTCTCCCCCCCCAAAATGCCACACAA